ACCTGGGAGGAGATCGGGCAGCGGAACGGACGGGGGCCGGCGCCGCAGGAGCGCTGGCTGGTGATCGACAGGAAGGTGTACGACATCAGCCACTTCTGCCGGAGACACCCGGGGGGCTCCCGGGTCATCAGCCACTACGCCGGGCAGGACGCCACGGTGAGCGGCCCGGGCAGGGAGGGATGGAGGAGGGATGGAGGAGGGTCCCCGGGGATGGGAGCAGCGCAGGAGCCGCGTGTGGCACGCTGGATACTCGGCTGGTACACACGCGTACGGGAATACACAGGGCGCACGCTCCGCCAGCGATTGTTTGGGATTGTTCGGGATTGTTGTTACAAGGAAGCGCTGCGGAAGGAGTCACTAAAAACCGCTGCCGGGAAGAAAAACAACCCTAAACCCTTCAGTGATTTTTGCACACCTAAGAGTATCGGATGCTGCCACCCGTGTGGCACAAGCGGTGACAGAGTTGTTGTTCGCAGCGCGGTTGCCTTCGCCCTCCTGGAACTTCCCGAGCCCATGAGATGGCACTGGAGCAGAATATCAGCGAAAGTCGTATTTCAGTCACGAAAAAGAAATGAATCATACGTGTCTGAGTGCCAGCCGCTGTTGCAGAGCGGAGTAAATGCTGCTGGAGTTGTGTGTGGGGTGGCTTTGCCAGCGGTGTTTACTTCCTTTGTCTGCTTGTGGCTTTTCCATGAATTTCTCCAAGTGCACGTGTTTGGACCCAAGGGTGGGAATATACCTCTAGGGTGGTGTTGATGGACTGTGTTTCAGTCAGGGTAGAACTTGAGATCTCCACGTGAAGATCCCGTCGTATGAATGTCATTTAGAGCCAAAAATAATAAGTGAGTTTGCAGCATTTGGTGAGGGCAGGGTGCACACGTGCATTTTCAAAGCCCTGTCACTGCCACAGGTTGCCCAGAGAAGTGGTGGAGCCCCATCCCTGGAAGTGTTCCAGGCCTGGTTGGGTGGAACTTGCAGCAACCTGGAAGCTGTCCGTGGCAGGGGGAATGAGATGAGCTTTGAAGGGCCTTTCCCACCTGAACATTCTGTGTTTCTGTGACCAGAAAAGGGTCAGCCCACGGAGTGAGCAGGGCTGGATGCTGGGACTGCAGCCAGCTGCATTCTTTAGGTGATGATATCAGTGCCACTGTCGGGTGCAGTTGAACTGCTGACCGCTCAGAAACCCCTGCCAAGTTTTATTTTCCAGTGGTTTTGTCCCTGGGGATCAAAAGAATGAGACTTCACAAAACTAGGAAGAAATGGGAAGTAAAGGAGTAACTTGTCTGGTTTGCTGTTCTGCTTCCTAGAAGGTGCAATCAGTCATCCCCTAACCCGTAGCCGGGATTGCACTCCAGGTTTTACAGCCTCCGTGGAAAGGATTGGCCTAAATATGTGGTACCATCCTCCCCTGCTCTGCCCACATACTCCTCCCCATTTCCCCCCCTTTTCCAATAAGAAAATGCAAATGTTGGTTCCCCTCTCTTTTTCCCTGCTTTATTCAGTGACCCTGACCTGGGAGGATGTTACAGCTAACCCAGAGCTGTAAAACCAGACAGTTTTTTAACCCCTTTCCTGACTAGAGATGTTTTAGGAACACATTTTATTTTAAAAGCATGCAATGATGGCCTAGTAATTATAGTCATAAACAATGCATGGTGCAGGGATTTTACAAAGTGATTCCCAGCAAGCAAATATCGTCCCAGAAAATTTAAAAACTTTACATCCTTAGGTTGAGGGAGATTGTAAAAATATACTAATTTGGGCATCAGGAGAGAAATGTTGAAAAGGGGGTAAATGGGAGATCAGGAATTAGATGCCAAAGTGCCATGTGTGCCTACAGGATTTGTAATTTAAGTATAGAGACAGAATCTGTAGTGATAACAGCCATTAGTGGTTTTTTTCACCTGGTTGCCATGGAGATTGACACCATATTTAAATAATAAAAGTAGCTGTTTTCCCCTACAGGAATCTTTTGAATGGTCCAGCATGTCATGGAATAGATTTCTCTTTCTGACACCTGAATGATGGTTTTTCTTCATCCCGTTCCTCTGTCTGTTTCAGGATCCTTTCATTGCTTTTCATCTTGACAAGGCACTGGTAAGGAAGTACATGAACCCTCTTCTGATTGGGGAACTGGCACCAGATCAGCCCAGCTTTGAGCCCAGCAAGAATGTGAGTGTCATAAAAACTTGATTTTGGGGTTGAAATTGTGCAGTTTAATTCTCTGAGCAGCAGGCAGAACTCCCTGTTGATAAGATCACAGGGTTTCCTGGAATCACTGCTGGCTGAAGCTTCATTTCACATCATTTTTTGTAGTTTTAGCAAAGATTTTTCTCCAGGTGACCCTCAGCTTCCCCTCTTTTCATCTCTGAGAGGGAGAACTATGCTCCTATTCACATTCCTGAGGTGTTTCCCAATTCCAGTGGATGCTTTTGGGTCTCCCCACAGAAAAAGCTGGTGGAGGATTTCCGTGAGCTCCGTGCAACTGTGGAGAAAATGGGGCTTCTCCAGCCCAACCACGCCTTTTTCATCCTCTATCTCTGCCACATCTTGGTGCTGGATGTTGCAGCCTGGCTCATCATCTGGTATTTTGGAGCATCCTTGGTGCCTTTTCTCTTCTCTGCGGTGCTTCTGGGCACTGTCCAGGTGAGCAGCTACACAAAATAAGTCTCAAAAAGCCAAATTTGGGACTTAGGTGCTTGTTTCCATAAGCAGTGAACAAATCTTATCATCGCGGACTTCCCCAAATCCTGCTTCTCTGAATTCCACCGAAAGGGCAAAACTACATGTGCTGCTGTGCTAGAGCAGGCTTTGCCTCGCTTTTTCCTCCCCATATTCCATCAAAGCCTTCCTTATTCCAGCCTTCCCCACATGATGAAAGCCGTGCCCTGCTCCTGAGCTCCATGGTGCCAGAACTCCAAGGCAGTGTGCCGGGGCCAATCCACTGTGTTCCCATGGGAACTTGCAGGGAGTTAGAGGAGAGGGGAGAGCAGCTCTCAAAGCCCCAGCTATTCCTCCCGTGGCCAGCTGATCCCCTTGGAATTACAAGTACTTGGAGGAGGCAGCAGCAAGCTGCTCCTTAAAGGAGACTTTGTTGCCGATTTCAGAGAAGTTTTGTGAGGGAATAAATGCTGGTTCTCAGCTCTGTGGCTGGCTTTTTTTCCCATGACTTTTTTTTCCCTTCCTCATGGAAACAACTGCCCAGGACTAAAAGTCATTAGGCAGAGTCTGGAGTGCACTGGTGTGTAGTGAAAAAGGAGAGTTGGGATTGGGCCCTGGCAGTGGAAACACTTTTGCTATCCAGGGATATATTGTGAGGAGCGTGGGAGTGGGAGAAGAAAGCACTTTTCAGACACAGACTCTCCTGACAGTTCTTTTTCCCCAGCAGCACTGTTGTTTCTTAATTCCAGGCCCAGGCTGGCTGGCTCCAGCATGATTTTGGACACCTGTCAGTCTTCAGCAAGTCCAGGTGGAACCACTGGGTGCACAAGTTCGTCATCGGCCATCTCAAGGTGAGCACTGGATGTGGGGAGGGGCTGCTGTAGCCCTGCTCTGCAGCCAGAACCAATCCCAGGATAAGGAGGGAACTAAGGGCAGAAGATCCACCTTCTCTAGGGCACTTTCTTCTCATCCATTCCCACAGGGAGCCCCGGCCAGCTGGTGGAATCACCTCCACTTCCAGCACCATGCCAAACCCAACTGCTTCCGGAAGGATCCTGATGTCAACATGCACCCCTTGTTTTTTGCTTTGGGGAAAACCCTCTCTGTGGAGGTGAGACCTGAGGGAAGCTGGGAGGTGACAGCAGTAGGATTCAAATTTGGGGATCTGCAGAGAGCTTGGAGACTGGACACTAATTAGTTTGGTTTTATGTAGTGCTACATTACCTTCCCCTAATCTCTAATATTCCTTAGTAATATTCCAACAATTTTGAGATCTTTAGATTCTTAAAACTTCACTCAAAGTTATTTTTGCAGTGTTGGAAGGTAAGAATTAAATATTTCCCATGCTTATGTGTTCCTATTTCCCTTGATGGGAGACTTTTAGTTTTATGAAGATCAGAACTACAAATTGTTCTATTTTACCAAGATCAGTGTGACTAATTGTAGTGATCTGGGGATGGAAACAGCAGATGACAAGCCAGGGCTGTCTGGAATTTTTACAGTTTTGGAATTTTCACAGTTCTTGATCAAAGAAGCTATTTTGGTGGTCTTAGCCTGGCAGTGGGTATCACAATGGTTCCCATCTGGAGTCCAGCTCTATTTCTGGTACAGCTCTGCAGTTAATTGAGTGGCTTTAGCATTTGCTGTCCTTTAAAAAAAAAAGCTATGTAAATTCATAGTGTCACTTTAAATGACTGATTTGCATTGAAATTAAGGGATGGACTATTGGGAATTAGTTTGAACATGTACAGGGATATCATGGCATTACCCAAGGAAGCCAGTGGCTTGATCTGTTATGTACAACATCTGTTATGTTCCTGTATGTACAGGAAACATTGAAAAATAAGCAGCCTCAGAGGGAAGATAATCTGTTCACCCTCATTCCTGTGGACACAGTTTCATGCCTAGATGCTCATTTCTCTGTTTTCCCATTTAATTGCAGGGAGGTGGGAGTTCCACACACTGCCATCTTCATTAACAGTATCATAGCTTGGGTTTTTTTTTTTAATTCTGAAGCTCTGCTTTGTCAGCAAACTGTGTGGGTTCCTGTTTCAACATTTTTAGGCAGCTTGTGCCCTCTGTAGGGGCAGAGCTTCCTGTGCAGGTCACTGTGTGTGTGTGTGGCACTGCCCAGCCCCTTCTGCATGCAGGGCAGGGTGAAAACTCATCCACACCGAGGTTCCAGGGGATGGTGGATGCTGGCTTGGTTGGACTATTTTAACAGCTTGGTGTGCAAAAGAAGAAGTTCATGCCTTACAACCACCAGCACAAGTACTTCTTCATTAGTGAGTAACCTCCCCCTCTGTAGTTCCACGGCCAGCAGTCACTCTGCCCCTTGTTTTCCCATTCCATCCCATCCTGCTGGGATAATTCATGGCTCTGTTTGTCCCTCCAGTCGGTCCCCCAGCGCTGGTGCCCCTTTACTTCCAGTGGTATGTCTTCTACTTCGCTGTGCAGCGGAAGCAATGGGCGGTAAGTCAGCTCCATGGGGGCTGGGGGAGGCTTCTCCTGGGTTTAGGGATGAATTCCAGTCCCAGATTTACTGGGAGTTGTGTGTGTCTGCAGCAAAGGATGTGGATATAAATTTGGGAACATTGTTTGCTAAAGGAGGATCTTCCACAGCCTTTCTCTATGAAAGATCCACTGGGTAACAAAAGATGTTCTCTGGTGCTCTGAGTTTTGGTTTTCTCACTGCTTGCTTCCTCTTTAGATCCAGAGGAAAGTGTGGTGCTTTAGAGCATGTCCTGTCTGGTATTTGCCCTCTGCAGGGCTCATGGAACCAGGATAATTCCTGAGCACAGGGAATGGCTGGTGTCAGGTTGCTTTGTGATGAGGCTGGGGAAGAAAAAACTGATCAGTAGAAGATGTTATGGGAGGTTTTCAAGGGAATGATGGTAAATTCAAAAGCCAGAAATTCTTGCTTTTAATGAATTTTTCCCTGTCTTCTGTACTACAGGACCTGGCCTGGATGCTGTCCTTCTACATCCGATTCTTCCTCACCTATTTGCCCTTCCTGGGGGTGAAGGGTACCCTGGGGCTCCACATGTTAGTCAGGTATCATCCAACTTACAATTCCAACATTTTCTCTGCCCAGTTTGTATCAGTCCTTTACATCAGCTTTTCTCCAGCCACCTGGTTATTTTTCTCATCACTCCCTGTTCTTCTCTCTCCTGATCCTTTCAGTGGGAGAGGGATGGTTTCCTGCCAGGCTGCAGGAGGTGGAAGGTGTGTGTAGGTCTGATCTGAGCAGATGTTTGGAGTTCCTGGTGTTCATTTTGTCAGGCAAAAACCAGCTGGTGTGTGCACAAGTGCTTTGTACTGGCTTGTCGCATCATGGGTGTGTCATCTGTGATGGTTTTTTGTGTTTACACAGGTTTATAGAAAGCAACTGGTTTGTCTGGGTCACTCAAATGAATCACATCCCCATGCACATTGATTATGATAAGAATGTGGACTGGTTCTCTACCCAGGTGAGACCTTATTTATGGAGATCTGTGACAGTTCTGGGTGTGTAAAGTCCATCTCTCTCAGCCTGCCCACCTCATGTTGGCTGGAAATAACTCCTGGAGCCATTGTGTCTAGCCAGAATTCCTGTGGGGATGAGAAACCTGTGTTTGAGAAGGGGCATTGCTCAAATGATACTTAAAACAGGGCTGCTTTTTTTTTTTTTTTCCTCTCAGCTCCAGGCAACCTGCAATGTTCATCAGTCCTTGTTCAATGACTGGTTCAGTGGCCACCTGAACTTCCAGATTGAGCACCAGTGAGTGGAAACAGGGGCTGGGAATAGTTCCAAGGAGTGCTAGTTACACCAGGGCTGAAGAGCCTTCAGGGTCCCTCTATTAGCTGAGACAAGAACAAAAGATAATGTGGGTTAATTTTTGTGTTTGTGTGAGGGGTGGAACAGGAGCTCCAAGAAGAAATTCTTTGGAGCACCAGCGAGCACCAGCACCACTTCAGATCTAAATTGCATGGCACAGAGGGGAGAATTCCTAGCATAGACACTGAAGGGACATGAGAGGGACCATTGCAGAGCACCCATGGCTGTGGCATAAGGGGAGCTCAGGGCACTTCCACAATTAGGCACGGCAGAGGGGCTGGGATTCCATGTGGTGATGATGGGTGCCATTGAATCACCACCTTCTTTCCCCACAGCCTTTTCCCTACAATGCCACGGCACAACTACTGGAAGGTGGCCCCTCTGGTGAAGTCCCTGTGTGCCAAGCACGGCATTGAGTACCAGTGCAAGCCTCTGCTCACAGCCTTCGCAGACATCGTGCAGTGAGTGTTGACCCACTGTGTTCCCAAGCCACGGGGTTGTCCAGTGCTGTGGAGTGAAAAGGGGAGGGACATGGAAGGGAAGGGACAGCCTCCAATGGTCCCTTCTGACCCAAATTGCTTCATGATCTCCTTTGCTTCATCTGTAGATGGGAATTCTCCCCGTAAGGCTCTGGATGGAACATGGGGTTCATTCCCTTGTTTCTCTCTTGGCAGCTCTTTGAAAGATTCAGGGGAGCTGTGGCTCGATGCTTATCTACATAAATAAGTAGCAGTGGATCCATGCAGAGGCATTCCCCAGCCTTGCTGCCTCCTGTGGTGATCACCCTGAAGATTCTGCACTGAGGAGAGCTGGCTAAGTCAGAGGTGGGGAGGTGGTGCCACTTAATTCCATGGATGAATGTAATTAATACAAATTTTTCCTTTTTGTTTTATTTTTTTTTTTTAATATGTGCTCTTAATTTTTTCTTGTGCTTCTTTCATTCCTCTTCTCTGGTGCTGAGTTCTGGGGAAAAGCTGGATGGAGGAGGCTGTGTCCCACCTAGCTGGGTGCAGCTTTGGGGCTGGGAACAGGTTCCTTTCCATCTGCTGATCCTTCAGTTGCTGAGTATATAGGAGGGAAGCTTCTTATCTAACGTAGGCTTTTTGGGGTGGTTCTTGTTGTGAGTGCAGTAAGAAAGTTGGGACAGCATGTAATCAAGGAATGTGGGAATTAGGGAAATGTGGAAGCTCTAGGGAATGAGGAAGGTTCAGTATTTTCAAATCCCTGTTTGTAATAGGGAGCTCCCAGACCAATTTGTATATATGTGGGTGGGGAGGTGCAGGCCACAGTTCTCTAGGAACAGGACCTAGTTAAAGCCCTAACTGAGGTAGGGAAACAGGAAAGTGGAAGTTTTCCCATGTGCCATCTTCTGTGACAATGCTGCCCTCCACATCTCCTCTGGAAGCCTCTGGGTTATTTGGCCACTGGTGACATTCCATGGTAGTGTCTGCAAGGGTTTTCTACCGTGCCAGACTTTGGAGTGTTATGAAGCCATTACTGAGAGCCAGAAACCTGTCCCATCCATACTGGGGATCCCTACAAGAGTGACTAAGGAAGCAAAAGTGTCCAGGCAAGGTTGGACAGGGCTTGGAGCAGCCTGGTTTAATGGAATACAATAAACCATGGCAGGGAATGGAATGAGCTGAGCTGTAAGGTCCCTTCCAATCTTTTTGAACTTCTGGGTGATTTGTTAAAAGAAGAGAATTCCTGACTCCTGGCCCGTGGAGAATGAGGCATTCCTGCCTGAGCAGCAGACAAATCCAAGGAAGCTAGAAAGGTGGTAGAGGTCAGACTGCTGTTTAAAAGTGTTTAACTTTTCACTCAGCTGCATATCCACAGGCATACCTCAGCCAAAACATTGCTGGTCTCCCTCTCTTGGATGATGTGCCTTCCAAACACACCCCAGTACTGTGGGATTTACTGAATAGTCTTACTGCCTTTCATTTTAATTACTGCCCCAATATTACAGATGCCAAAACACGATGTAGCACCTGCCACACCACTAAGGAAGATGCTCCATCACCCTGGTCCCCCAGGGACTGGTGGATTAGAATCCAGGAGGGATGGGTTGATTTTGAGGAATTTTTTTTCCCAATCAACATCCAAAATGAGAATGAAGTGTTGAGGAAATGGAAGAAATGTATCTTCTCAGGCCAAGAGTGTTGTTAAGCAAAGGATAAAATTGTAATGGGAATAATAATACAATCATTAAATTAAAGAAAGTGCGCCTTAGTTATTGTTTTACCTTGTTGTTTCCCTGTTCCATTTCTTTCCCTCTTCTTACAACTGTGGATGGAGGAAAGTCTGTTAATAAAATTCCTTATCTTACAAATTTTTTCTGTCATCAGAGTAAAATAAATCTGTGAAAGAGTCTTCATGCTGTAAAAGGTGGAGCAAGTGCTTGTCCACAGCCACAGAGAGAGAACTGTCATAAACCTCTTCAGAATTTGCTACTCCTGTGTTTTCTCTGCCACAATAAAGAGGAAACATCTGCAATACAATAAACCAAATGCCTGGATAACCAGGAAAAATAACACAGGTGAGCAGATTCACAATCTTGAAGGGTAAGACTGAAAGGGAACCTGACTCAGCATAACCAGATATGAATGTGCTGAGTTTCCTGGAAGTTTTCCAGGCTCAAGAAGAGTTCTCCAGAGAGTTTTCCAGGCTCAAACAATACACTGAAATACACGACCTTGGAAGAACACCAGTCTCAACTTTGCCATCTAGTGGAAACCCTTTAGCCGTAAAAACGGAACCTGAACATTGTGGAATAGCCACAGGGGGGCAGTCAGACATCAGAAGGGGAGCAGGACATCCCAGAGGTTCAGAAGGGAAGGATCAGATCGTGAGAGAGACTTGACAAAGGCAATAGAGTGACAGGACAAGGGGAAATGGCTTCAAACTGAAAAAAGGGAGGTTTAGATGGGATATTGGGAAGAAATCCTTCCCTGTGAGGGTGGTGAGGCCCTGGCACAGGTTGCCCAGGGAAACTGTGGCTGTCCCTGGATTTACGGAAATGTCCAAGACTGGGTTGGACTGGGCTTGGAGCAACCTGGGAGAGTGGAAGGTGTCCTTGCTCATGGCAGGGAGAAGAGGATATTGTTCCTGAAGATGTCAGAGGTTCATAAGGCTTTGAAGATTATCCAGTAAAGTGGAACAACATTGGACAAAGAGGTGGCTCCAACCTGGAATAAATCACTTTTTCCAAATCAGCAACGGAGCAACTGGAATTATGAAAATGTCAGGGTGATGTTCATACGGTTAAGGGTGATGGGGTAACTAAAAGAGGAAAACGCTGCAGTTTCCCCCTTCCCAACACCCACTCACTTGGGCTTGATAAGGGTGTGGATTTGCAGTCCTCGCCCAACTTGTGGATGTGTTTGCATCCATTATCCCAAATTCCCGAAGAGGGGAATGGTGTTCTTTATGGAATTCTCCCCACCTTTAGAAAAGTAGGGGAAATCAAGATGACTGTAGATCTGCACAGGATAGATGATGAATGCAGCTGAGTTGCTCATGAACGGGAGGATTTGCAGCTTCCCAAGATTCTTTTACAAGGAATATAAAGAGATTTCCTAACAGGTAAAGTGTAGAGGACAAGTGCAGTAATGCAACACTGCTCATGGGTGGGAAAGAAAGAGGATTACACTGGAAGAGGTTTCTCTGGGATTTGCATCTTCTGCAGGGACTGGTATTAAATGTTCATAAAATGGGGAAATATTTCCATGTAGAATTGTTTTGAAACAGCAACAAGAAATGATACACCCATGACAGCTTATATGAAATGCTGCTTATGGTGGTGCCCCTCAGGCAAAATTTCCAAAGGTCTGACTGATCCATAGTAATCTCCCTTGGCTTTGCTCACAAGAACCAGCCTGGCTTTTTGGTTTTTGCAGCTCATCATTCAGGCTCTTGTGAGTTTGGTGATTTTTTTTTGTGAGAGAATAAAATTGTCAGCATTCCCCGAGCCAAATAAAAGAAAAGGCAGTGACTTGATCATGAAAAGGCAAGTTTTAGAGCAGAGAATACTTCAATCTGTCAGTAATAAAGAAATATTTAGTAGCTGAAGTGTGGATCAATTCCAGTTCAAGATACAGTGTAAGTGCAAATCCTTAGTACCAAGGTTAATTAGCACAATTAGCAGGAGCAGTGCTAGATTTTCCTCTAAGGGTAATATAAAAATTTAAGAATAACTCATTTTTATAGATGATAATTCCTTGTATAATGTTTGCTTTGACTCAGGAAGAGATCAGGGCAGGCCTGTGGGCAGTATTACCCTAATTAGGTCACCTCCTGCATAATAGACCTTTTCAGCGGAGCACTAACCCATAATTTAGCTGCAGACCAAGATAGAATGATAACAACTTCTGGCAAGAAGGGATGCCAATGTTCTAACAAGTGAGCCTGAATTCCTTTCTAGAATCGTCTTCCAATCGGTTAGGAAAAAGAAACAAGGTGAGGTAAAAAATGCTGGGTGTTGCCCAAGTGAAATAAAAGGTGAACGGAAATGCTGCAATGAGCTCAGGTTTTGACATTTTCTTTGTTTTGTTCCCTCTTCCCCCCTCATCCAAGAGGAAGATCAGAAACATATGAGGCTAGAAAGCCATAGGTATTTCTGTCTTCAGCAAATATTCCAAAGTCACCAAAATAGAGGAGAAAGTATAAAATTATGTGACTCAGATCCTAGCAATGAGGGAAGAAACAAACTCGAGAGCATTTTTGAAAGATGAGGGACAACCTGTGAGGCAGATTGGGAATAGGAAGAATAGTGAAAAGTCATGGAAGTAGGAGTGGCTATTTGTAGCTACTTTAGCAATTTAGTAATTGCTTGTCCAGGTTTAACATAATTTGATTTTTAGTCAAGGAACAATCCACAAAGTAATTCCCTGTAAAGACATTGGCAACTTCCCTGGACCTGACAGAACCAATCAGCTGGCAATTGAATATTGATACCCTGCTAAACCACCTGAGAAAGCTGAATAGGCTTCTGTGAAATCACATTTAAAGATGAGCAAACCCCAGGAAAAACCTCTCTTGTTTCTGGCCTTTGGACAAGTAACTGGACCAAAGTGACTTGGCTGTGAGACACTGTGCCATCCTGCTGGCATTGTGGAAAGGGAACAGTTTCATTGAGAACACTCAAATCCCAGATGGGAAGGGAATGAGAAAATGCCTTAGTCTTGGGCTAAAATTCTCATGTAAGACTATAGTGAATATGTAATTGGTACATCAGACTTTTTTCCCCCTGGAATTCCCATGGAATGCATCAAGGATATGTAATGTTCCAGCCACAGCCATGAGAAGAAGCACCAGTGTTAAAGCAAGCGAATATTGAAGTAGCTGTGATCTAACGAGATGACTGAACAAAAAGAGATGAGAGAGGTGAGAAACCTGGCCCCAGGTATGGGAGAAGAAAACCTCTGTTCCCAAAAATAAAAGAAGAAAACTTTTGTTTCTATATTAAAATGGTTCATCCTTAAAATTGCACCCCAATGAACTGAGATGACCCATGGTGGTAGCTGTGGGAAGACCACCAAATGTGGGAGGGACTTCACGATTGCAGATTTCCTGGTGGCTTAATTTTTTATTCATGAAAATTAAAACCACAAGAGAACTATTTCTTGTGAAAAGGTCTCCACGGCATGGCAGGAAAGACTCCTCTCCCTAAGTAAACAAGAAAAATTATTTTAAAAGTAGTAAACGAACTGAAAATATCAAATTTGTCTCTTTACGTTGTCAGTAAGAAAAGAAAAAAGAGTTGGGGGGATAAGTGTTCTGAAAGTTTATTCTAATTTCACACTATTTATTCTTTTGGTTCCATTAATAAAATTTTCTTTATACCCTTTAAAGTTTTGGGCCTGCTTTGCTCTCCTCCTAATTCTTACCTTGCGAGAAAAAAATGAATAATTAATTCTAGTGGGAGCACTGGTGTTTGGCCAGTGCTAGACCCACTACATTGCTAAAGTGTCAAAGAAAAATTACATTTTGCAAAAGAAGTAGCAAAATATGAAAACTGTGAGTGGTGCCTGTGTGGGCAGGGTAGAAGTTTGAGGGACATAACTGAGGCAAAATGTTTATATTGCCCTATGAATATACCCCAAAATATGTGGCTGAGGAAGGACAGAGGCAGATGGTGAAGGCCAGGGAAGGAATTATGGCCAATATTGGCTGTGCCACGTTTACTGCAGAGGTTGGAAGGCAGCCCAAGGCCCACAGGAAGGCCAGATGGAGGAAGGTGCTCTGTGTGTAGGCCATGGAACCACCATCGGTGTTTTAATCCTGGTTTAGGCCACTTTGTTACTAATTAAAAGATTTCCTAATTTGATTTAAAAGATTCCTAATTTGTTGTACAAATCACTCATTAAACTTTGGAGCATGGGCACCTTGTGTGGGGTTTTTCTTTTGTGGATGCCCAATTTCAGGCAGCCAGAGCATTCAGAAGTTTCTAAGCAGTGGATGCCCTGCACTGGGCACAGAAAATGCAACAAAAATGCTGCCTGGTCTGAAAAAAAACAATCCCAAATATGAAACAGTGAGAAAACAAAATAAGTTTGTTACTGGCGTTTAACAATTTTGTCTTTGATCATCTTGTGTCTTAGTCTTTGTAACAATATAGAGCACTTGGGAGAGGAGAATCACAGAATTTATAACTTTAGATCAGCTTAATTTAGATCTTAAAGCCACAGAAGAGCCCCTGAGATTCTGACTTTCACAAAGCTGAAGGGTGCAAAAAGTTTATTTCATAGGAATCGCAAAAAAATTGATATGTCTTTTAATGCAATTTAGTGTTCTATGGGGAGATTTAGATGAGAAGGTTCACAGGGCTTATTACAGGGTCTAATTTTAGCCCTCATTCTAATTAACATCTTGGGGTTTTATTGTTCACTCATTAAATGTAACTGAAAGCTGTCCACAGGAGCTTCCCGGGGAGGGAAAGCGTGGCTTTTCACAGGTGTTTTTTTCTCTCTTTTGCAAAGAGTGTGAAGAATGTTTTCACAGAGAAAAAAAACCCCATGTGTTAATTTACTTTTGATATATGGACTAAGGAATGAAACAAAATTAATAAAACTTTAAAATATCTGAGGAACTGAAACCCCTCAAGGTAGGGTCTCCATTGCAAACTTGACTCTGTCTGTATTAAAAACCCCTTGCTTTTGCTTTAGTTTCTCTTCTCATTTCATGGGATATGGTATTCCTGATAACTAGCTCCATCTGAGATGCAGGGTGGTGTTTCATTAACCCAGAATATACTAAAAAAGGGAAAACCATGTCCTTTTCTCCTCCCGACTAAGAGGACATGGTGCCTTTTAATGCTTTTATCAAAAGCAGTAAATTACTGGATTCTTTTTTCCTTTCCAAAACAAAATTTTGCCAACTGCAAAAGTTTATGTTGCTTGAAAAGATTGCAAAGATCTTTCTCAATGAAGCCTTTTCCTGAATTATGGATTCCCCATTAAGTTTTGTGCTGGAGATAAAATAATTTTAATTATTTCTGTTAATTATTTCTGGCTGTGTTTGGGAAAAGGCACACCACAGTGACAGAAGAGGGACTCTTGAAGGAGAGTCCATGAAGTCCAGGAAGAAAAACAGACTTGGTGAACAGGAATGTGTGTGCTGACTGTGGATGGAGTCAGATAATTTCCTTGGAGCCAGTGTAGGGCAGAGCATTCCCAAACCCACCACAAAGGGCTCAGTATCCTGTGAGCTCCATTCCAGAGTCCCTCGAGGACAAACTCTCCAGAATGTTATATATCATTATATGTTATATAAATTAGGTGGTACCTGCCTCCTGATGCAGAGACATTTCAGATCATGTCTGCTTTGATCAAAGTACTGTTCCATGGCTCCAGAGCAGACAGGACAGGGCAGAGAGACTCAGCTCTGCTTCCAGAGGGAAGTGCAGGTGTACTTGTAGATGCTCATCCAAGGTCACACTTTTCCAGCTTTCTCCTCTGTTGGCAGCTTAATCTGGAGACCTGCTCAAGCCACAACTGTCTGTCTTGTATCTAACAACTCTGGTTAGACTCTACACTTCATAAAGAAGATTCCCCACCCAGTTTTGCCCAGGAGCCCCACTTGTGAGGTGTTCCCACTTGAAAGGCTCCATGAAAAGCCCATAAAAAAGTAAACCAATATTACTCAGAACCTAAAGATTGTCTCCAGAAAAGAAGATTTTCTTAGAAACAAGATCACAGGATCATTAATGCTGGAAAAACCTCTATGATCATCAACCACTTCCAAATGCTCCAGGGTATCTCAGTACCAGATTTATTTCTGGACCATTTATCTCCAGTGGATTAAGTATAAGCTGCAAACATTTACGTGACAGAGGATAAAAGAGCTGAGGCAGCAACCACCAGCTGAGCAGTCACGTAGTGTCCTGGAAATCTGGGAAACTGTGTTGAGTGCCCGTGCAAGGAGCCTCTGAGTCACAGGAGCAGGGCTGTGGAGTAGCTCTGTGCACGTGTACCAGCTCCCAGGAACACAGGACTGCATTTTGGCAGGTGTGTGGGCAGTGTTGCAGAACACCGTGTGGTGTAAATTCACTTTAACAGGTTTCTCAATAGTTTCTCTGGGTGAGTAGGACTGTGCCTTTCACTGTCTGAGCTTTTCCATGTGCCTCTGTAATCTGGATTGTGACCAGGTAATAATTGGTGACCTGGATAATACAGACAGAGGCAGCTTCTGCTTTCACATTGGGAAGGGATTTCAATTTGACAGAATATCAACAGTAGCAGTGGGTGTTACCGGCCCCTCTGAATGGGATCTGATGCTAAAATAAATTCAGACAATAAATATTTATACACACTGTTAATACAGAGGAAAATCATCTTAGAGTTCCCAAACTTAATTTCACCAGTTTGGTGAATGCTGGCCCCAACAATGGTACAGTGAAAGTCACAGCTACTGACTGGGTATAGACAGAGAAATCCCATATTTGTTCGCTCCAATACATTCCTGGCTCTTTATACTGCATCTCCTTGTAGACCGAAACCAAACCCCACATTTTAATCTCCTCCTTTTCAAATAGCTGCTACATGTACAAGTCTGAATATAGGGCCATGGGAAGGTTTTTTTGTCCTTCCAGCCAGCTATGGAGTAATTTGATATTTTCACATGTGTACAAAACGCCACATCTGCAAGAAATTGCGCAAACTGTTGCATATTTTATTGCCACCACCTCAAGTACCGAACATTGATTTAGGTAAGACTCTGCACATATACATAGAACATGAACACATCATTAGCGTGGACAGTCTCAGCTTTTATTTAGAGCAAGATAAAGAGTTACAAAATGCAATGTGACAGCAGGGTAGAAATTATTCCTCCCATTCTTTTATCACTGTCTTCTGATGAATACCAGCAGTCACATTTCTCTTTTACTTTGGGTGGTTCACCAATTGCCACATGTCAGCCACTTTTAAATGGCAGTTTGGGGCTTGACTGATTAATTTGCAAGATGCTACATGAATTGAAGAATTAGAATTGCATAATTTGGAGTTCTGTGTCAGCCAGAAAACTGCCCACTCTGTGCTTGGGATACAGGGAAAACGTCTCATTCTGCTGAGGTGCCTTGGTTGAGAAAGTAGTTTGGCTTTTTTTAATCTGTCTTTATATTTCTTTATCTATCTGTCCTGCCTGAAATCTGCAGCTTCAGCTGAGTGGTTTCAGTGTTTCTCAGAACTGGGAGCTCACAAAACAACCAGTTTTCTTGGAATCACAGTGTGTGAATTGTCTGGGAAACTCATTGTCACAAGAGATAGTTGAGACCTGCAGCTGGCCAGGCTTCAGGAAGGGACTGGCCATCACTGCAGGCCACATCTGGGGTTATACACCCAAGAAATTCAGAAACATAAGCAGAAAGTTTGGGGTGAGGGGCAAAACTCAGGATTTAACTCAGTGTTGCATTACAGAGGGGTATGATGGACATGCCCCATCTGTACCACCCCACACCGTGTCTGCCTGCTGCTTGTACCTTCCCCAAAAGCACCCAAGGCTTGCAATTTCAGATTAAAAAAACCCCAACCAGGACTAAGACACTGCTAGATCTCAAGTAGGGTGATATTTCACTTATATTGCTTAATTTTTTCAGCAAAATTGATGTGAGCTCATAAGAAACTTGGCATTGGCTTGTCACTGCATTTTATTACAGCTGAGAACTCTTTACCTGTTCATTGCACAGCAGACCTTCACAATATCAGAGATGCTTAGGCTTGGTTTCTGCAGGAGTAGTGTTTAAGTAAAGTTAATTATGTCAACATTGCCTTTAAGCATAGGTTTCTGAATCTACAGCCAAACTTGGTGTTAACAGTTATTGCTATTATTATTGTTATTATTATTATTGTTATTTTTATCACTATTCTTACTACTACTGCTAATACAAAGTATTTTAATGTAATAGACTCATGAATTAATTACTTGAACAGTTAGGTGGTTGCATGGCTCTAGAAAATACAGAAAATTCTGAAACCAACTATATGCAAAGTGTTATCAATATAGAAGCCAAATTAAATGGAAATAAAGAATGTTTTCTTAGTGTATTCTTTCTTTACTCTCATCTGGTGGTATTTTAATCAATTATTTAATTAAGAAAGGTACATTAATTTAGCATGCCAGGGTCAACACTAAAAATTTCAAAGACCGAGGACAACCTGAAGGTTTCAGGTAGTGAGGCCATTTAGAGGTAACAGGTGGCCCTCACAAATTTTTGTCTTTATTCCTGTTTGTATTCAGTGGAGCAGTCAGACCTTGCAAAGGCAGCTCGGAAAGGACAAGAAGGAGCAGAGATTTTCCTCATGGGTGTGTCCAAGTGTCTGGAAGAGGAGGGAACCTGGGAAGGGTGTGTTTGGGCGAGGAGAGCCAACCAGCCCTTGGAAGCGCAGGGAGTGGTTTGGAGTGAGGCTGTATAACGGGCAGGCCAGCATGGGCCACCCTCAGCCTGGACCTGGAGCTGGCTCTGGAGAATTCCAGCACTGATGGCTCCACAGACTGGTCCCAGTGAGAAAGGGACCAGATCCATCCCAGCCTTTCCACAGCTTTTCACTTGGGAAGAGATCAGGACCCGCAACGGCCGTGAGCAAGGCCAGGAGCAGTGGCTCGTGGTTGACAGGAAGGTTTATGATGTCAGCACGTTTTCCAAGAGACATCCCGGGGGCAGCCGGGTTATCAGCCACTATGCTGGGCAGGATGCCACGGTAAGAGCTGGGAAAGCAGTGGAGGAAGGTGGTTCCAGTGGCAGGGAAGGAGGACACGGTGGGGAATCCTGTCTGGTGGTGGTCACCACTGTGTGTGGTCAGAGAGCAGACTGAGAAAGCAGCATGATAACCTTGGGCTGCAGGACATATGGAAAAGTCCTACAAATATATTTGAACATAGATCTTCCAGGGATTCCTGCAAAAATCTCTGATCTGGAGGATTTATCTAAAATCATTTGGTGCTTGTTGGCAGGAATAATAAACTCTAAGCAGATCTCCCAGACTATGCTGAAAGGAGACGCTGAATTTCTGAGCAGGCAGAAATCTGAGCATTAGAAACATGGGCATCAAATTGTGATGTGGGAGATTTAATTCTTGTCACAACAAGACTTTCTGACTTGAGGAAAGTTGCTTAGCCTGTCTTAATTCCTCATGTTTTAGCGTGTAGAATGGGATAGCACTTCCTAACTCCTGGCCCAAAATGGACCAGGTTAGTTACTTTTCACATTTCATCCCTTGCACCCTGCTTGAAACTGGGGCAGAAAAATATCTGGTGGTCTCAGAGGAAGAAAAAGGAGAGGTTTGAGTCTTGTTTGGTTTCCCCCAAGCTGATTGACCTTCAGAACATAGTCCAGCCCAGAGATCCTGGTGCCATCTCCTGCACTTTCTGCTGCTGCACTTTCACAGAAGGAGTCAAGGAATGCAGCATGCATGGAATGACTTGTCCCCAAGCTATGTCCTCCCAGCTCCTTCAAGGACCTGCAAGTTACATCATTGTATTTGTAGACACCCAGGGGCTTTAACCATGGTGAATGTGTTTAAAAAAAACACCTTTGATCTTACTTGCTTTTATTGTTGCAATAATTACAATCTGATTTTACTTGATCTTAATGGTGTACTATATCCCCTTGAAGACAGGACCACAATCAGTAGCCAAAATCATGGACTCAATGTGGATATGTGTTGCATCCTAACAACATTTTCTGTCTTGCCCTTGCTAATCCTAATAATTCTTTTTGCTTTTAAAATGCTGCTTGTTTATATATTCTAAGAAATCCACATAGAAATGCAGGACTGGAATGTGTTTCAAAAAATTACTGGTGCAGGACTTTACCTAAAGCCAGGATCCAGGGTTTTTCTCCAACAACTCTTGACTACTCTAGAGCTCATAATAGTGTATACATAGTGAGAATTTTCTTCCTCTGTGGGGATTATTTTGAAAATACAAGGCAAGACCATTGCAGAACATTCAACTGACGTCAAATGTTGCGAGTTATGTGTGTTGTAGGTGGTATTTCTTAAAGTTAATCTCTAAAGTTAATCTTAAAATTAGTAAGATGCTAATTAGAGTGTAAGACCAGGGAGGAGAAAGAACAGGCAGGACTGAGAGGCTTCCAGTGATAAGAATCTGCGATGCTGATCTCATGGATAGGAGCTTCTGCTTGAAAAGATTCTGGTTCCCGTTTCCAAACTGTAGTACTGATACTTACGGATTAAATCAGCATTCCTGGCAAGATGGAGGGATATAAAAATGGATAAACACCTGGAGAATGAGGGGCATAAAATCACAATGGGAAGATTTTCCCAGTGCTCTGGGTCTCGACAGAGTTGTTCATTTGTCACTGTGACAATGGGTCACTAGATGTCTGTAGAAAAGCTCGAATGTCCAAAAAGTCACCCTGTTCTGACTTTTTCTAGACCAAAGTACTCAGAGAGAGACTGTCTCCAGCCAAGAGGCTCCAAGAAAATCCTCTGTCCTCTTCCAGGGATTTGATCCTGACCAGACCTGTGCAGAATATTTGGGTTGTGCTCATCCCTGCTGATTTTCAGAGCCAAAATCAGCAAAATCAGACTGCTCAAAATGAGGATTTTGTTCTATCCGCTCTTTCTGGAAGAAAAAAGGATATGGCCAACCTCTTTACCTTTCTTCTGGAAAATCCACTGAGGACATGAGCTAAAGAAGAGTTTTATCTGGATTTATCTGGAATCTCATCCTTTATTCCATTGTTTATATTTGATTTGAAACTGGGATTTGAAATGGTTCTTTTGTGTCATTAATGTTCCCACTTCCCCAAAACATCAACCACTCTGGAAATTTGGAGGGAACTGTGAGAGACAGACAGTTTGTGCTGTTGAATATGAGGCTTCAGCATTTATTTTGTATGGCCTCAGTGTTACACAGACAGGATTTCAATGCCTCATCCCAAGCACGGCAAAGACACACCTCATTCCCTGCTCCTGGGTCCCATCCATAGGGCAGGGCTGCTGGCTGGAGCCTTCTAGGGACAGACTGCTGAAACAAGCAGATGAAAGAACAGGTTTCCCTCTGCAAAGGGTTTTTCATCAAACCCTTTCATGTTTATTACCAGCCTCACCCAGGGGCTTTTATGAAATCTGGGCTCTTGAAACTCCTCCAGCTTCCTTGGGCCAAGCTCCAGTCTATGGGAAAGAGCAATAGGAGAGACGAAAATGGACAAGGGGAGCAGGATTTTGTGTTATAATCCAGACCTGGGGAATGAGAAGCTCAGCTCTGGTGTTTGGTCATGTGCCGTCTCTCACTCCCTCCCTTTGTGCTCCTCAGGATGCCTTCGTGGCATTTCACAATGACAAGTCCCTGGTGAAAAAGTACCTGAAATCTCTGCTGATTGGGGAGCTGGCACCAGATCAACCCAGCTTTGAGTCTAATAAAAAGGTGAGTGCCCTAGATTCCAGAGGTGGGAATGTCTCGGGATTCAGCATGGGAGGAGAAGGAAAACAGGAGAGGTAGCAGGAATCGCCTCTGAGAGAGTACACCTGATGCTGTGGGTGGGCAGGAGGTGGTGATGGGCAGGCATGGAAACATGACTGTCCCAGCACCACTAAATCCACCCCTGGGAGCAAGGAATGGGCTCCAGAGCCCCAAATCCTGCTCAGTTCTCCTCATTGGGATGTCTCAGAATCAAAGCAAAGTCTGTTGACTTCATGCTTGTTTTGGCAATGAGCCCTACTGACCGAACATCTTCTCCAACTTCTGTGGCTGTTTTGGGGTTCCTGGCTCTGCTCTATGACATTTTCAAAGTAAATAGTGCATTAATATTCACTTCACCCACAGAAATCCGTTTTCTTTACCCACAGAAATCCCTCTTGGAGGATTTTCGTGAGCTGCGCTGCACCATTGAGAAGATGGGACTTCTGAGGCCAAATTACTTCTTCTTCTTCCTGATTTTCCTTCACCTCCTCGTGCTGGATGCTGCATCCTGGCTTGTGGTCTGGTACTTTGGCATATCCCTGGTGCCCTTCCTGGCTGGCATGGTGTTCTTCACCACTGCCCAGGTAAACTGCTGACAGGTGCTCAATGCTGCAGATGCCTTCTTCTCTTCCAGGTGGAGAGGATTAATGGAATGTTCCCATCCCAGGCATTGCCTCTCCTTAGATCCCATTATCTGGCTGAAGATGACAATCACGTTCTACGTCATAATTTTTGTTGCCTGCAGCAGATCTCATTTTGCTGACAGGCTGCTCCCTCAGCATGGTGGGGTTCTTGTGGAACTGGCTCTTTCACAAGATGGGATGAGCCGATCTAATCACTTACCCCAGCAAAAAGAAGGAAAATTTCATTCTCACTGACACTTTTGGCTCTCTGTTTGTTCTGTCAGATGGCTCTGGTATTTTTGGGGTCCTTTATGAGTCCCCACTAGCCCTGAATAGTTTTCTGCTGCATTAGCAAATTCAGCCATATAAGCAAAGGATCCATTTCAGGGTGGATGTAGCGAAGGAGGGAATAAGGATTTGTGGCACTTATGGGAGAAATTGAAGGGTGTGGTGGAAGAAGGAAAACAAGATTTTCTTATTAGCACTGAATGCTTAAGTTTGCTCAGATCCCCCTGGAGCAGGTGCAAATGAGCTAATTTATTTAATTAATCTGTTTTATTTGCCTAATATCTGCTAGGGCAGATATCCCTTGAAGAGCAGTCTTGTATTTCCACAGAAATATGGAATGCAGTGAAGCCACAGACTTGGAAACTATTCCACTTCCTAGCTGGTTGCTTGAAAATTAATTACTTGTGATGGCAGCAACAGAATCCTGTGTTGGGACAGTGAAGTTAATTGCAGTGATGCTTCTCTGCTTTCCTATATTCCAGATGAAACTAATATCTGGAATTGAGCAGGTCTAGTGGACAGTGGCCTGGATGGAAGTTCCCAGCCCTGCAAGTGTCTCTTCCACACATCAGAGGGAGAATGAAACTCACACTGTGAAGTTTCAGAGACTCACAAGGCAAATTATTGCAATAAAGAAGTTCTCTTTCCTCAGTAATCCTTTTTTTCTCCCAGATCCAGATGGGCTGGTTCCAGCACGATCTGGGGCACTGCTCTGTCTTCAGGAAGCCCAGGTGGAATCATCTCCTGCAGACCGTGGTGATAAACATGCTGAAGGTAGTGGTGGAATGTTCTCTGGGGCTAATTGGGACTAAGCAGTGGATGGGAGTGTCCCTAAATCCAGGCAAGATCGCCTGTGAGGGAATTGAAATAAATATAAATGTGATCCTTGATATTGCCTGCTCTGGTTTGAATCCCTGGTGTTGCCCTTTTCCCCATGCAGGGGCTGCCTGCCAGCTGGTGGAACCATCTGCACAACCAGCACCATGCCAAGCCCAACTGCTTCCGCAAGGACCCCGACCTCAACATGCACCCTCTGCTCTTCAGCCTGGGAAGGACCCTCTCCGTGGAGGTCTGGAAAAGAAAGGACAGAGAGCTAGAGTGTGATGCATATCTAATATATAATGATAACAAGCCAGATTGTGCCTTGAAATTAAGTGGTTTTTAAGGTGCCTTTCAACCCAGACTATTCTAGGATTTTTTGATAATTCCCAAAGTGTTCCAAGATCTGAGCGTCTTGTGTTATTGCTATGCTGAGACACCCTCTCCTGAGAAGCAAAGGCTTAAAATCAGTGCTTAAGTAAGGGCAAGCACCTTGAAGGCAGCTCCAGGGGTGAGTCAGCCCACTTGCATTAGAGAGTATTAGTGAGTCAGATGTTCCCTCTGGATCTTCCTGGCTACTGGAGCTGTTCAGCACCCAAATCCTTCAGGGCTGGCAGAGCCGCCATGCACCAAATGCATACACAGTGAATGATTTCCTAATCCTGAATTTTATGGTTTTCATAAAAAGAGAAACCATGAATAGATCCTCCCTACTTCCATTATGGTTTCTGATAGCATCGGGATAGGCAAGGGCTCGTTTGCCTTTTCTTTTCCTTGGAAGTCCTTTTACTCATGGGATAATGAAACGCCCTCATTGTGAGATACACCAGCCTCTTAAAATAATGCCTTTCTCTTTTTCACCTGCTGAAGAAACTCTCCAAGGCATATGGAAAATTCCAGCTCTGCTGTCCCAGAAAGATTCCTGCAAAGGGAGATACAAAATGCTTATTGACAGAAAACCATGAGCTCAGTTGGGAAGGATTTTGTCAGGGATTTAGGGAAAGCTCTCTCATGTAGGAGCATCCAGAGCAGGCTGGCTGTGCTCCAGTGGGTTTGATGGAGTGAAAATGTCGGAAATCAGTATCAGCTTTTTAGCAGGATCAGAGTTGGGCACACTATGGATAGGCAAAGTGGATTTCAGGGGTTTTGTTCATCCAGTTTATTTGTTGCTTCAAGTTGCACTTCCAGTGCTGACTGGAGTTATGAAAGTATAACAAGACTAATAAGGAGCCTTAGGTCCTTATTAATTTTTTTTCAAAGAGTTATGGTCACAAAAGTTTGGGGTGATGTTAAGAAACTTTTGGTGCAATTGGTGAAATATTACAAGGTGAATAAATAAACTTAATTGTACTTTTTGTAAATATTTCAATATCTTTTCATTTTTCAGCTTGGAAAGCAGAAGAAGAAGTTCATGCCTTACAATTACCAGCACAAGTATTTCATCTGTGAGTATCCCTCTAAAACCATAAGGGCATCTCCTCCCACACAAAATAAAGGTTTTTAAACATATTCCCATTGAAGGGAGAGCTCCAGGAAGCTTCCTTCACATTAAAGAAGGTCCCCATGTGGTGGAATTGCTCCTTAAGTCTCTGTTTGGGTTATGAGATAGATAGATGAGTGTGTACCAAACAGAGGGAAGAAAGGGATGGGGAAGAAGTGGAGAAGTGATGAGAAAAAAGAGGAAGAGATTATGTGGATGCATGGAGGTTAATATGAATGGAAAACAACAATTTTTCTTCTGCTGGAAAGAAGAATCATTTTTATGATGCAGTGAAATTACAAATCTCTCTCTCTTTCTGTTCTGGTCTTCAGTGCTGGCCCCACTCGCCCTCATACCCTTCTTCCAGCTGTCAATATTCTACTTTGCAATCAAGAGGAAAAAGTGGTTGGTAAGCACTGCTTCCCTGTCTGGAAAACTCAAAAATTGTCACTGTATTCACCTTTGCCTCCTATTGGTCAGGTGAGTGGGCGGGGGGTAAGAGAAAAAGGATAGAATAGGCTGATTCTAGGCTTGCTGCAGAAAGAGAAAATTGTTTAGAAGAGGCTTTTTAGCCTTTTAGCAGATAAATAAGTTACCAGGAAATCCCCAGACCCAGAGTATGATGGCAGGGCTATTGTCTGCAGTTATTGATGGTTAAATGGGAATATTTCCACACACCCACCTTGATGCAGAATGGACCTTACTCTTGAAAAATCAGAGATTTGGATATCAGTACATTTTTTAAACTGCAGTTCAAGTAAAAGGGAAAGGATGGAGTGGAGGCATTTCACCAACAAAGGTTGATTTTCATCCTGATTTGTTTAGGGTTTTTTTGGTTTTTTTTGTTTTTTACAGGACCTGATATTGATTGTGGCTTTCAATGTCCGAATCTGCCTCATGTACGTTCCTTTAATGGGATTTAAAAATTTCATGGTGTACTACTGGCTGTCCAGGTAATTCAGAGCACACCCAGAGCCCCCATAATTAATATTTGTAATCAATATTGAGCTCAAAAAAAAGAAATGAAAACTAAAGCTACAATTTTCTTAGAATTAAATATTCTAGAAGAAACAGTTTAACTTCACAGGGGTGGTGACTGGTCAGGGGCATCTGCAGCTACAACTTGAGTGGTTCTTAAACTCCAAAAGTGCTTTCTTAACTTGAGAAGAGACTTAACCAAGTGTTTTAGTGGTAAATTTGGATGGGATCAGAGATATTACAAGAGTTTCTGTGTTTATCTGTCCAGATACTTTGAGAGTACCTGGTTTATTTGGGTGACCCAGATGAACCACATCCCAATGAATATTGATTATGACAAGAACAAAGACTGGGTGTCTACTCAGGTGAGAAATTCTGGAATTCTGGGTCTGCTGGTCTAAATTACAGAACAAAGACAACATTGTTACTCTCATAGATTTACTATTAATGAGGTTTGCCTTTCCATTCATTAAATAAACAGTTCTGTAATATTCAACTCATTTCAAATTTTAGTTGGAAAACAGGAAATCTAGATTTAAAAAATCCTGGTTTTTTCACTGAAAGGCCTTGACATATTTTACACAACCCTTTCCCCTCCCTATTATAGAAAAATACTGGTGGTATAACATCCAATCTCCTTTTTAGGCTGACTAAACAGAAACAAACTGGGGGACCTTTTTTTTTACCCTACAGGCTGCAGGTTTACTATGTATCAGATTAAATCTGAGAAAATTGCCTGAGAAAAATGAATATATACTACCTCCAGCAGCATAATCCCACATAGTGGGTTTGCAGCAGTTTCCTGTTTTATCAAGGCTAAAAAACTCAGCCTGACTGGTCTAGACTGTGTTGAATTCCTCAGGGCAATGATGGCTGTAATCCCTGACTTTGATTCTTATGCTGGATAAGGGTGGGCAGCGATTGCTGGGGCTTCAGTTGTTGGATTTGCAGGAAAATAAAATCTAAATCATCTGGGGGTTTTGGGGTTTTTCTCTCCCAGCTCCACGCAACCTGCAACGTGAAGCAGTCTGTGTTCAACGACTGGTTCACTGGGCACCTGAACTTCCAAATCGAACACCAGTGAGTATCATCCTGGGGAGAAAAATGGGAATAATCTGGGGCAGGGGGATATTTTAAACAGGGAGAAAGCCAAGTCTTGAAAAAACTCTTCCCTCATCCCATTCTGCAGCCTGTTCCCCACAATGCCTCGGCACAACTACTGGAAAGTGGCTCCCCTGGTGAAAAGCCTCTGTGACAAGCATGGCATTGAGTACAAAACCAAGACTCTGCTGACAGCCTTTATAGATATTTTGCAGTAAGTACCAATTAACAAGGTGATTTTGCTCTGCAGTGGCAAGTAAGAGACACCCAGGCAGCCATTTCAAATCAATTTCCATGGAGAGATCAAACCTAGAGTTTATTTAGGCTTTTCTATAGTTTTAAAGTTTCAAAGCTTGTTTTTCTCTTCCTTAAATCCTCTCAGCGCATTGCCAGCAGTCAGACTTTGCTATGAGGTGTCCACACAATTTTAAATCCATATTTTTCCTTTTATTTCTTTAACTACAGTTGGCCTCTCACAAAGCTGAACTCTGTCTCCTCATAAATTATTTTTTTCCCTTCTGCTCCTGCAGTTCCCTGAAGGATTCTGGGGACCACTGGCTGGAAGCATATCTGTATGGATAGAAACTGGCAACTCTCCAAGGGAATCCCTTCACCACACAACTGCTGCTAAGAGCCAGGACACACCATCCCTGTGCATGTCCTCAGGCATAGGAACTGAGGAGCTGGGCAAAGCTAATTTCAGTAAGAATCAAATGGGAAAGTGGCTTCAAGATACATTTTTACCTTGTTCCCAACCTCTGTGGGAGCCTCTGTTTTTTCCTGCTCAATCTCAGAATTCAGAGATGGGCTTTTAAACTCGGGGAGAAGTAGCTCTTGAATCAGCTTGATCAGTTTAACTTTATTGGAAGTGTCAGTTCCTTGCTTATGGAAGAGAGAAAGTTCTTCTCAGAGTCATAGAATCCTGGAATGATTTGGGTTGGAAGGGACCTTAAAGATCATCTTGCTCTACCCCCTGCCATGGGCAGGGACACCTTCCACCAGACCAGGTCGCTCCAAGCCCTGTCCAGCCTGGCCTTGAACAGTTCCAGGGATGGGACATCCACAGCTTCCCTGGGGAACCTGTTCCACTGCCTCACAATAAAGAATTTCTTCCTAATATCCAGTCTACACCCACCCTCTGTCAGTTCAAAACTGTTGTCCCTCATCCTGTCCCTACAAGTCCTGATAAAAACTCTCCATATTCCTCACAAGCCTCTTTCAGTATTAAGGTCTCCTTCTTTCTTGGCTCAGTGGATCAGTGAAGAAACGCAGGAAAAGTACAGGAAATCAGGAGACATTAAACCAGGGGGAATTTTTAAGGGATCTTTTTGAACAGATCAAATAAATGTGCAAAGTACAAGATGGCCTCTGGGGCATGTCCCCATCATTTCTGGCCTCCTTGCTGAGACTGTTAAGGGTTGTAACAGGTTCTGTTCATGGATTGCATGGACAGGCAGATCTGCTGGGGGCTGCTTACACCTGCAGTATCCAGTGTGAACACAGCTTGTATGGCATGTGGTATCTTTAGGCATAAATATATGTCTGGGTTTTAACTGAGTGCTGACTGTGCTGTCAGATTGGATTTCTGGTGTAGACCAGCTTTGAGTCAGGCTGAGAAGACAAAGCACGGAGAAGTAGGTCCAGATTTCAAGGGTATTGCTTTTATATATATATTACATTTTATCTAAAATTTTACCTCTTGGTGGTTTAGTACAATTAGTTTTACAAGAGAATTATGAATAAAGTTCTTGATCATGACTTTTAGATTGAAGTCAAAGCCTGTTTTAGAAGGAGCTCTGATTTATCTTGCTGATTTTGGAAAGTAATTATAATTCAATGACATTTCCTAATGCCACTTAGAGCAAATATATTCCATCATGGGGCTGGCAGAACCCATGTGGTACCCACCTCACTGACCCAAAACCAAAAAGGTTTTCATGGCAAGAAGCTGTAGTGCCAAATAAAGAGACAATTTGCCCATAAAAACAAAGGCCACATGGTTCCTCTCCTCTGCTTTCACACCCAGTTACCCATAGGAGGAAGATGTGGGAGATTTAAAAGCAGCTCAATTGTGTTGCAATTTACAGACACCAACACCCCTCTTCTGTAACAAGATCAAGCCCAGCAAACAAAGCAGAAGGAGTCTGGACTTTTTATTTTTGCCTTTGTTTTTTTCCAGAACATCTTAGTTTCTTCTGGTTTTTTTATAATTCTGTGTAGGTGCAGGTAGCAATAACACCGTTCTGGTTATTTGATAATAATGTCTGACAGATGTCTTTGAAAAGTGTGCTGTTTAAAACAATAGTTATTAAAAAGTGTTTAAAATGTAGTTTGGAAATCCCTGCTAATTGGTCCCTACAGCAGTTATATATTCCCAAATCCAGGGTTGGTTATAATGATGATATCCCTAATTATTTGCAAAAGCAGAAACATCATATAATTATTTAAAGGATAATACTGCCTTAAGATGAATGCAGGGATTTCATGGTACTACACAAAGACATGTTAAAATTGCTGTCCTGCTGAAAGTTATATAAATTTTAAGGATTCCTCCATTTTTTTTTTATCAGTGAGACTTGAAAACTGTGCTGATCCTGTGTCGTACTGAAGTCAATGCAAAGCTGAATCAAAAGGTTTCTTTGTGGTGTCAGTCTCATAAATTAAACTGATCATTTGTAGTGTTTAATTAGAATTCTGCTTATTTGAATGTCATTATTTATTGATTCATTTTTCAATCTGGTTTTAATTAAAACATTTCTGTCTCTATTTGTCTCAACAGTCTGCTCTGTGTCAAGAATAATTTCTTTATCTTTTTAATAAATGTTAATTAACAGGGGAGTTGGTTTACCTTGGTTAAATTCTAACATGGTTTACAAACTCCAAAGGGTCAGGTGAGAGCTGTAATATTATCTGAAAGTCAATATTTGCCATCTGGAATATCTGGTGAGAAGGAAATTAGGGCGATGTTTTGCAGAATCCTTCTGGGGTTTTCTTTTTCTGCAGGAATTTGTGCTGAGTTGTTGTTGGAAGTGGTTTATCTTATCCAGGTAGAGGAAAAACTCTTTTGTATCTTTTTGTTCTTCCCTCAAGTTTCAGATTTAGGGATGCAATTGGATAAGATACTTTGGGTGGAATCTGATGAAGAGGATTTAGAAATGAATAGAACAACTTCCTTTTCTGCTGTTGTCCTGCTCTGTGTGGCAGCATTTCAGCCTAGCCCCTCTTCTCCTGAGTGTAAAATGATTCACTTATGCACTGATTCCTCTTACAAGCCACCCCTGCAAAAAAATTCCTTCCGTTTTATTGCCTAAAATATCTTCAATGACTGTTTGGAGGGGCAACTTGTAGCCTGACTTGAAGGAAATTGCAGTTTGTGTGTCCATAAAGAGAGATCCAGCCAGAAATAGGGGTTGTATTTACACTGAACTCCAAAAAACAGGTGACTTTATTCCAGCTTGCCACCTAAAATACCTTTTTCTCAGGTGCTGCCTATAGAAGGTGTGTTCTGCTATTATTCCAAGTCCATTGAAGTGCTGAGCTGTGCTCCCCTGCAAGTACAGAGCTGCCTCTGTCTGAGTAATTTTCCTCTTATCACTCACCCAAGGGTGGGGCATCCTTGGTTTTCCTGGCTGCCATCCCCCTGAGGGCCTCATCCCATGGGCACGCTTGCATCGAGCTCTTAAAAGCAGAACTCTGTTTTCCAGAGGATATTTATGGCTGTTTTCTCTTAAAAACGGAGCTGGGAGAAGCAATCCTGCATCTTTTGTAATTAAACTTACAAGAGCAATGTGGTACCTATGGTTCTATTTTAGGCCACAGCACTTCAGTTCAACTTGATCCTCAGTAAATTCCTCATCCCCTCCATGGATTTTGGCAGGTTTCATCAAAATATTAATTCTTTCATTCTGCTTCAAGTCTTCTTAAATGGGGAGTGGTGAAAATGTTCCTCACTTAAACTCTTGGCCTCCCAAGGGTATTTTTCTATTTTCTCAGAAAAATATAAATACATATTCCTTATATTCTTTTATTCTTGGTGATAGACGAGGAAAAATCAAGCTAAATAATCTTTACTGGTTTGTCTGGTCACTAAACTCAATTTAGACTGAAACAAATTGTTTTTCCTTACAAGATCTACATTCCCTCTTGGAAGTAACACCAGAAAACACATAAAAATAGATGTGCAAATACATCTTTTAGGGATGATTTAGGTTCTGGAAATGGTCTAGAACTCTCCCTACTGACTGCTCCATACTCAAAAATAATTACCACTAAAGTCTTATTTACTCTGTGTATTTTATCTTCAGGGTGGTTATGTTTAGAAAGGTAAATATATTTGAGATTTTGATTTTATGGGGCTTTTTTTCCATTCTAAAAAAAACATGCTCAGCCACCATGATATCTTTTTATTCCGATTAATCCAGTTTATTGATTGAAGGTGTTGACACAAAGGTTCCCACTGGAGCTGTTATTCCACTCTGTGATGGGTTAGAAGAGATTCAGTTTAAATGTATTCATGAAATAAAAACAAAGGCAATTTTTTTGAGCACTATCCCTTGCCTTTTGGGTGTTTTAATAGCATATAATATCTGAAAAATCCAGCAGGAACATCCAGAATCCAGCCCTGTGAGGAGATTATTGAGCAAGAACAAGCTAATTATGTAAATAAAGGCCATATTCCCTGCAAGAATTGCTGCACACAGCGATCTGTGTGACCTTCATTTTCACTCTGACTCATAATTCCACTTTTGGGAGCAGAACTGTGCACACCAGTTGGATCCCAGACAGTGAAGGGCTGGGGTTTGCTTACATGGGCTTTTCTACATGTTTACAACCTGTTGGATCAGTGTCAGCTTTGAGTCAAGGTCTGTGGAGTATCCAGAACAACAAACAGGCAGGAGAGGGCAAAAGAGAGACCATATCAGAGCAGAGCATTATTCCAGTGAGCAAAAGTGGAGGCCTGATGAAGGAATTAAACCCAGCTTCAATAGGGATTAATTACAAGGTTTGTTTTGTTATTCTACATGGATTGAATCCACAGGGACTTACCCCATGTGGGAAGAGGCAGCTCTGACCACAGTGATTTAAAGGGTAGCTCTTCTCAGGAGCTAATCATTCCACTTCCACGGATTTATTAAGACCTTTGGAATTGCACCCTCATGCCAGAGGTCCCAAATATTCATCTAACCTTCTGTTCCTCTGGAGTGATGAAATAGCCTAAATATCTTTGACCTGTTGCAATAGTGGATTTACCAGGCTTTGGCTCCTCATGAAGCTGAAAGAGGATTTGACTTTTTTATTTCTGTCTTTATTCTCTTGTTGAAATGGGTGTTAGATCTACACACACCATGACAAGAAAAAATCAAACAAAAACCTCCAAATGAAACCCAAACCCCACATAAAAATTACACATTAAAATATTTATGCCATAAAAAAAAAGAACCAAACCAAAGCAAACCAAAACAACAAATTTCAAACAAAGAATTCCCTGAATTCTTTGTGTTATGTCAGGGAGAGAGGAGCCAATCAATTTTGGAATGTTCTACTGGGATTTCTTTCAGGGAAATAGATGGGATATAAACTCCAGCTGGGATTTTTTGATGCCATGTTTCAACACCCCATTGTGAAGCTCCAGTTTGCTGAATCAGAAATCCATAAGCCATGCACAGCAATGAGCAAAGCCAAGCAGGCAGGGACTACCCAGCAAAATGCTCATTAAAATTATTTAAATATCAGCTGTGGGACATGAGCTAAAAGTGTGATATTGCAGCACACAAAATTTGCTCAATATAAGTGGTGGTGATGTAAGATTTTTAACCCTAGGATTGAAGCTGCAAGCTTTGAGTGTGTGAAAATGAAAGAGATGCTCTCAGGGTAGTTTTAAACCCTCTTTTATTAACTCACTTCTCCTTTTTATTGCTCTTACCAACTCTTAAATAAAAAAATCCCTTGAGTAAGAAGGAGAGACATGCTGACAGCCAGTGAGGTGAGGGA